TTCCGCGGGGGGGGGGGGGGGGGGGGGGGGGGGGGGCGTACTCAATTTTTGCACCCCTTAGCGGTTAGGCTATTGACCATGCGTCCTCCTCGAGAGGATTGCTTCCACTGGACGACTGCCGATGCCCAATCGAAGTGGGGAGAGGCCGAGGGGGGGGATTGAGAAGAGGATGGCCGGCGAAGGGTCATGGGCACTGACTGCTGCTGCGACGAGTGGTGCCCAGATCAGGTCGTCTCAGAAAAAACACGTAGCGCGTTTTCCCAAGTCGGGTGCAAACGTGGCAGGAGAGAGAGAGAGAGAGAGAGAGAGAGAGAGAGAGAGAGAGAGAGAGAGAGAGAGAGAGAGAGAGAGAGAGAGAGAGAGAGAGAGAGAGAGAGAGAGAGAGAGAGAGAGAGAGAGAGAGCAAGAGGCAACCTGAGCAACCTTCGAGCCAAGTACTTTCGAGAGGTACACAGCAGTCCTTTCAAACACGACACCGGCATGGCGCCGACACCCGTACGTTGTGTGCACACGTTAGCGAGGAAACCCTGTTACATTCGTCGGTCTGCGGCTGCAAACCCACTGGCTGTTCCGGATGGTGTCCTGTTTAGTACTCCCTGTGCAACGCAATACATCCGCAACGCGCGTGTGCTTGCACTATGCGGCAGCTGTAACACTTCGCGCGGTCATCGCAATGCAAGCATTTCATTGCTCGCAGACAAGCCAGACAAACCTTCAGGGCGTCGATCTCCCGCCGAACGTCCGAGGTTGCCGACGGGCTGCTTGACGACGGCGTTCCTGGCGGTGTTTCTGCCTGTGGTGTTGGGGGTTAGTTGTCGTTCAGGGAGACAAAAAAACGTTACTATGTACTGCTGTTGTTGATAAACGTGGCGAGCACGAGGTCAAACTTCGGTAAAACGGTGGTGTCTACAAAGGTTCTGCCCTACAGGCTCATGCTTTCTTCTTTGCTGCATGTGTGGCGTTAAACGTTCAAAGAGGGCTATTTCTTACAGCAGTGTAACAGACGGGAGCCAGTCACGAGCAGCAGTGGGTGCCGAACGCTAAACGAGCTCAGCAACGGGCATTCCCTGGACTGATAGTCTAATGTTGTTCCGTTCACTAAATAAATACCGGTACGTACATACAGAGTACATACATATCTCGAATGGGTAGTCTTTCTGTGTTTGCATTTATGTTTTTTATTTAATCAATAGTCTATGACCCAACGAATCCATCTCTATTGAAGAAAAGAGTCTGAGATAGATTAGCAATGAATCCATAGCATCAGCGAAAATTATGTTTTTGCACGATTTCCCGAGCAGCACACAGCAGTGATATCTCCCCCGTGAACATACACTGCTGTAATATGCAGCTCTGGTAATATGCATACATTCTGACACCCGTTTCGGATCATGATACAACACAGCATAGACAGACTGTGCATACGGCTCTCCACCTCACCTGCTGTTGCACGCCTGCTGCTGATGTTGCCGATGCAACAGCGCCCGGCACCGCCGTTGAGCTCTTTCTCCCTGACGAAGAAGCAGCAGACAAACCGCCCAGCTTGCGCGTCACCGCCTCCTTCGCCATGCCCCTCAGGTCTTGCGCCGTGGGCGCGGCGCCGCTGTTGATGCGGATCTTTTCGGATGTTTCGGCGGCTGTCCTAACCGCCGTCTCGACGTCCGGGAGCTTGGGCACGCGGCGGCCGATGTTCTTCTCGCACCACTGGAGGATCGTGATGCGGCCCTCTGGGATCGGGGGCGGCGGCGGGCGCGCCTTGCGCTGCGTCGCCGCCGCCTGCGGTGTAGGCTTGACCATCCCAACCAAATGTTGATCATCCTGCTGCTGCTGCTGCTGCTGCTGTTGCTGCTGCTGGGGCGGCGAGGAGTCAGCAGCAGCGTTGGCGGGAGGTGTCATGGTCACCGGACTGGCGACAAGCAGGACCGAGCACGCCAGGATGGCTCCCATCGCCAGCGTCCGAGCGTTGCCTACGAACGAGGCTGCCGTTGTTGTTGTCGTCGTCTGCTGCCTTTCAGCAGCGGCGGTTAGTTGAATGAGACCCGCCGCATCTTCCTCCTCCTTGCCCGCTTCGACGGTTGCTGGATTATTTTTGTTACGCCAACCACCGGCGGGACCATCATCTAGCGCAACGGATGGCGCTGCTTTGCCTAGCAGAGCATCGTCGTCACGGCTCCGACCCTCCTCCTCCTCTGCTGCTGCTTCTCCTGCTGCCCCACTCCGGCGGCAGCGCAGCGGAGCCTTGCTGCCGTAGCGAGGCACGCCTGCTGCTGCAACATGTGCGTCGTCATTATTCTCATCCTGAAAGAAACCGCTGCTGCGGCTCCTGCAACGCTCTGCGCCCGCGAGGGTGCCGGAGGGGCGCAAGAACGGGTTCCCGGGCGCTAGCCCTTGCGCGGCGGCCAGACAGCCCGTGCAGAACACGAGCCTACCGAGCATCGGAGCACATCAACGTCGGCGTTGTTGTATGTTGGGGCTGGCTCTACTCTACATATATGTACCTGTCTCGGCAAACATGGGAGGCAGGTCGATTTGGCGTCGTCAGCGGCGGGGAGTTCGGCACTCGTTCGGGAAGGATTGTGGTTCTTGAGAGACAAGGGGTCTGGCGAGTAGAGAGAGAGAGAGGGCACCAAACCGCCAGCGTCAGCAACCACACACAGCAGCAGCATGTGGTCTAAGCACGTGGCGAGGCCTGTGAGAAGAGGCGCCGGCTTGCATCGCGTCGGGCGGCTGCTTCCGGCCATCTTGTACCGGTCGTTCTTCCCAGACTTGAGGTGGGCCGTCTGCTAGCACACAGCAGCAGCGGCGTAATTTTTTGGAACGTCTTGACATATTGACGTACTTCATGTGTGTGCGTTTGTTTCTTGTGCGCAGGAACAGGCACTTTCTGCTGCAACACCTGCGACGACGAAAACCAATCAATGTCCGTGGCAAGCTCTGGCGGCTGCTTCTACGCCTGTTTGTGGGTGTGGACACAACTGGTTTCCTTCGCGGTAGCAGGATGCCGCAAGTTTCCGGAGCGACGAAAAACAGTCCAACATTTTGTGTCAAATCGTACAGCAGTAGTTCCGTGCGACGATCGATCGTCATCTGTTTCTCAACGCCATGTGCAAACATTGTCGTTGTGGTTCGTGTGGTGGCCTTTAGGAATGCAGCAGAGCACTTCCTTGTAGACCCCTATGCGAATAAACTACTGTTGCTCTGCTGTCCCGTTTGCGTGTGATGCAAGTTTGTGTACGCCTGGGTGGTCGCGCCGATCCTTGGTTGTCTTGGGTACCTTGCCTTGTGAGCGAGTGCAGTACACCCCGTGTGAAGTGTCAAGTGCAACCAAACATGACCATCTGCTGTTGGCCCCCTTTGACATCCCTCGACCTGAAGGAGTGCAGTACACAGCAGTACACCGAATGATGTGCCCCCCAACAGGATTACCATCTGCCGTTGCCCCCTTTCGATACATACCCCTTCCACCACTCAACGCCAACAACGTCGACTTCGCCAATTGGCCTCCCTTCGACAACCCTCGACTCAAAACGTCAACGTCGACTTCGCCAATCGCCACCAGAGTATTTATTGCGTAAGACTTAAAGCGGAGTCATGCCGAACGGCAACCCTTCAACACACCAGATGCCGCCACAGCAGGACCTCTAATGACGTGCACCCAGCATGGTCACCATCTGTTTTTCCCCCCCTCGATACTCCTATTATATTTCCAAAAAAAAAAGCGGGGTGATGAGGAACGGTAACCTTCGAGCACACCACACACTGCACTACAGTACACCCAATGATGCGCACCCAACATGGTTGCCATCTGTTTTTTCCCCCCTCGGTACCCCTATTTTTTATTCCCAAAATAAAAAAGCGGAGTGATACCGAACGGTAACCGGCGAACACACCGCGAGCGACGGGTGGTGCCCTACCTCCCCGAACAGTTCTTCGGGGTAGTCGCGGACGTGGACAACTACAAGAACTTCGTTCCGTTCTGCGTGGACTCTCGTGTCGTCAAGGTCATCGACGACAATACGATGGAGGCAGAGATGAGCGTAGGTTTCAAGGTATGTAGTGAACATCTGAATACAAACGGTAGAGAGAGAAGATGATGAATAGAAGCAAGCACCTTTAGGGGCCGAAAACCCAACCGTTAAACTAGTCTAGTGGTGTTTTGGTTTGCTTTCGGCTGCAAAAAAGGTTGGCTAGCGAACCCGAACGTTGCGAATCGATCGATCTGGAGCAGTAACATGCTTCCAAGCGTTGCGCGAGGTCGGGAAGAACTTCTTGTTCCTACTTGGTGTACCTATTAATAGCGGTCGGTATGATTCACGGAGCCTCCGGGCGTTGGTATACCGTGATCTGATGATCGGGGAGATACGAAGTATCCTGTGGTTTGGGCTCCCTGGCTCACCTCTGCATGCGCTTTGTGCATGTCAATACCACAATGACGCTCTGATTAGTGGAAGCACGTCTTAATATTGATAGTCTCTGTCTCCCCACGGATCGGCTGCCATGGCGTTACTAGCGTCTGGTCACCCGCCTACCATCCAAACAGTACTCACGAGAAGCACTCGAGGGAGTCGGGGCAGGATCCCGCCGCATTTCGTTAGTTGTCCGCCCCGTATTAGCAGCCCCCCCCCTCTACAACAAGCCGATCACTTCGTTAGCTCTGCAACCAGGTTACCGCTTTTTGTTTTGCCTTTTTTTTTTTTTGCGGAAACCATAATGGTGGTCGAGTAGATCATGTTGTGCGGGGTGGAGAACCCTCACTCCGCGCAAGGGGGATAATCGCACCACGTTGTGTTAAATTGGTCGAAGCACCCTCGAGGCAGTTACACAGCGCTTACAACTGTCTCTGGAAGTGAAAGCACCAGAAAATAAATTAAGTCATACGTAGCTGTCATCCGTACGCAAGGAAGTAAGCACAAGATGCCGAACACCCTTAGCAGGATGCAGCGCACCCTTCATGCGACTCGCCGAATACCTCACGGCGCTTCGCGCTTGGTGATGTGAGAGCCTGGTCCGGTGAGAACCCGGCGTGCTCCGTCCCGGCTTTGTAGGGATGCGAGGTCAATGGTCTAACGACTACGGCATGCACGACTATGAA